AAAAGAGCCCCGGAAAGAAAAAATTAATTTTTCACTGACCTGTGACCTCTAATTTCGGCACAGTGATGGCCTTTCCTACCATGATGCTATACACCGACTATCACGAGCCTAGGTCGAGCCGTTTAGATTTGTGCCGCAATTCTGCATTTCCTTCCTATACCTTGTTCTTTTACACCTCTTGACCTTTGACCTTTGACCCCCAGCTTCGACATTCCAACTCGTTTTGCCGATCCCCCCCGACATCCCCAATATCGTGACCGTACATCAAGCGGTTAAGATTTGTGCCCAACTGTTGACGCACGGACGCACGGACGGACGCACGCTCATGCGATTCTACAAGCTGCATCTGACTATGTCAGATGAGCTAAAAACTACTAAACTACAATTACACTGAATTAGTGTTACTTCTTACTATTTCCTTATTTGGCTTCCTGTTGCCTCTTTAGGAGAAACCCTCTAAACGACCTGAGACTACTGCCATCACATGTACAACATTTTATTGCTGCTAAAATAACCATGCGCATAACTGAAAAATTGCCGAGGCTGCAGAAAATTGTCACTGGCAAAAACTTTATTTTTCTGCTATTATGCTTACATAAGGGCAAATATTGACCTTTACCTTGAGGTATATATATAACATATAGGTATATATAGGTATATATATATAATATAGGTATATATATAACAGTACTTTTTACAGCAAAATGCAGCCGTGCATAATATACCATGTACAGCAATTATACAGAGAAATTGACATTTATAAAATTACCACGATAGTCAAACTTAAAATTCAAATAAGTCTGCAAGCAATAAGGAGGGCATGATAGGGTAGTGAAGGTTTCAGTATGCACATATCAAAAACGACTCACATTTTTACTATTTAAATGAAATTCCTACAGTATTAGTTGTAAAATATTTTAGTTAGAATATGCATTAGCTCAACGCTTATGCCAAAATATCACTGAAAATGACTTTGACTTGAATGACAATTTTTTATTGCCTTTTATGGCTTAATTTTAAAGCATTTGTTTGCAAGTTTTTGTTTTAGATGATGACCGTGAATAATTATACCTGATATGGAATATACTGAACAGTCATACTCTGATCGAGTCCCAGACATACATGCAAGAATGCATGCATAAAAGCACACACACGCACAGAAATAATTTACTTTATTATTGAGATATTTGAAATTGATAATTAAAGAACTATACCTGTGACACAGAATGCAATTCGCTCTTTTAGAGTCCTCTCTTCAGTTGGTCTGGTATATGGTTGCCGAGACAACTGCCTCATGAGTAAATAATGTTGAGAATACTGGATGCTGCATTGCCGTATATACTGCCTGCGCCGAAAAGTCAAGTTCTCATCACCTGTGGTAGACAAAACTACATCTTCATTATTTCTGTTTGTTGCTCTGAGTAAATCTAGCTATGACCTAGATACAACATCAGTGTTATCAGAAGATACGCCATGCCATCACAGCAAATCTGGTTTTATTCACAATAACCAAATCAAGCACTTCATAAGTAAATCATCAGACATTCTAGGCACGTTTGTTGTCATTTGATAAGTGCCAAATATTTGGTCTTGTATTGAAGCCAATAAAATTTCTATAAATATAATCAATAGGTTCACACGTGTGAGGAAGGATGGATACGTGCTAGGTTTAGCTTTTCAACAAATTCATTTTGTCTACCTAAGATAGTTTAACAAACTTGCAAAGAATCATTTCGCAATAAAATAACTAAAATAAAACTAAAAAGGGCAGTTATCGCCAACTACATGTATCCCCCGTGTTCTCCCCAAGATGTGTAAGTATACGAAGTTTGGTCGCGCTAGGTCAATTAGGGGCCGAGTTATAGAGCGGAAGGGAAATATGATCAAGGTCAACGGTATAAAGGTCAAATAAAAGTCGCAGTGACCTGTTTTGGTTACACTGCTCACTCTTCTCCCAAAGATGTGTTAAGTATACTCACAGTTTGGTAAGCGCATAGTCAATTAGAAGAGCCGAGTTAGAGAGCGGAAGGGAAATATGATCAAAGTCAAGGTAACAGCGTCAAATAAAGGTCGCTCCAGTGACCGTGTTTTGGTTAGCGCTGCTCACCTTCTCCCAAGGTCGTGTAAGTATACCAAGTTTGGATACAGCGCTAGGGTCAATTAGAGGGTCGCATTATTAGGAGCGCGAAGGAAGATTAGTCTGCGGCAGCGGCCAGGCTGGGGAGACATTGAAACCAGTAGTATCCCTGCCTACTTCGTGCACGGGGGATACAATGAACAATGAAAAAAAGGTTGCCATAATGGAGAGGCCTTATATTCAATCATTTATAATTGACCTATTTTTAAAATTTTACCTGTGTGAAGCACACACTAAATCTTTTATCATTGGCCCTCATCACACCCTTAAGGGGGGCTTAATGTCGGCCGTTGCGAGCCACTGACTGCGGAGCACACTGGCCTGCAAATTCGATCACGTGCGACTGCAGTGCTTAGGTCGCGTCGACTCCGACGCGACTGGCCAGCCACTAGTTGCGTCGGAATAAAGAACAGTGGGCCAACTGGAATGCAAACTAGTCCACTCCCGATGCGCCTTCCCAGCTTGCTCGAAATCCATGTTGCTTTCCAGTCGAGTCGGTTTGCAAGCCCGACATAAGCCCCCCTTTATCTTGGCGTGTCACAAGAAATCAGTCACAACTGGTCCTCGTCGTCCTTTTTGCACATTTCACCTTTACATTCATAGATTATTTACGACAGCTGTTATCACGCATCTTACCTGTACGCAGAACACATTTATGACTGGCCCCCTAAGCTCACGTCCTACTTACCTGTGTGCCGCCTCTTCCGCAAGCGGTCTGCCATAAGAGCCACTGCGCGACAACCTGGGGGCATCGGTCTCATCCATGTCGGCTGCAGCTGTGGCACTTGGTGGTGTACGAATGCCGGTCCGCGCTGGCAGCGCAGGCCACGCGTCTGCGCCCTACCCATGCCTGCAGCCGCACACAGAGTCGCGGCGGTGCCATTATGAACCGACGGGACGTCTCTGCGTTCCGTCTCGTGCAGGGTCGGCCAGCGCCATTCGCAGACTTGCCCGTCAACGGGTACGGGTTGGTCGTGAGACAGGCGCGCTCGTTTTGTAGCGCCATGGGTCTCATCCTCCTCGTCGCTCAGAGATTCGCTCTCTGCTCGAGGTGCAGTGAGAACCAGACCCGTCGAAGAGATGTTCTTATTATCGTCTTCAGAGGGACAACCTGGAGCACTGGGCGAGAGCAGTGGCGTCATCTGAAAAAGTTAATTCAAATGCTACTTACCGGAATTCCACGTTTTCACAATATTTCTGCAAGCATCGTACACTACATGATGCATATTCGGGGATACCTGTAAAAAGTCCAGATCCTCCCCCCACCACCACATTCCCGGCCGATGCTTTTCTCTTTTAGTGGTGCCGGCCACGACGATGAACTACATAACCAATAGCCTCTTGCAGTTACGCGGAGCGTGGCCAAGACTGCGCTGTGACCGCCCAACTCCGTGGCTCCGTGAGCGTGCGCGTCGCACGCAGGTTGCTGGCAGGTCGCCAGCTTACGATCATGAGTCTCACCGGCTCATCAGTGGCGTCGCATCTGTCCTCTTCCTCCTCCTCCTCCATCACATCTGCGAGAACCTCCGTACTGCTAGACTGTGCTGTAAAGTTTGACGTCTGAGGCAACAAGTGATTACCGTCCGCCGTCCTGAAATCATCCATCTCCTTGACGATTAAACTTACCGGGAGCCGAACAGGCATGAGTAGTATCAAGCATTCTTAATTAAACATGTTCAGGCGCAGAACCACTGATATGACTCGGTTCTGAAAGCACACATCAAAACGCACAGTCCGCGGATTCCGAGATAACTTCGTGGTAAGACATGGTCAAGTAGACGCGCGCCGCTAAACGACGTGAAATAGGTGAAAAATCGATGTAAACATACGGAGAATATGCGAAAATTACGGGTCTGCCAAGCCACACAGGGCGATTAGGGATCCATTGTCTGACAACGAAGGCAGCCATTGAACGTTTAGTTAATGACGTGTCGTGTTTCACACTTACAGCACTGACACAGTATTCCACATTACCCGCCCTTGTCTGAGTCCGTCAAGCTGGTGGAACATTGAAAAAGGCCACTATTGACTGGTTGCTTTAGGCGACATTAGAATAGTTCACAACATTGATTTTTCCTTTGAAATTCAGCAATAATTAATTGTGTAACACATTACTAATGAACACTCTGGCAACAGCTCACCATTGACCAAATCCTCTAATCATGTCTCTATATATTTACTGCCGCCGTGATTTTGCAGCTGTTATCAGCTCAACATTGTTATAACAGTACAGTACGTATTTATGTTTACCAGTTTTAATATTTAATTTTCAATTTTGATTAATAATTCAAAAAGATTCACTCAGTTATTGAACCTTTAATCACATTTAGCCACATGTACATTCTGACGTAAACTACGTATTTCATACCCAGAGATTGCTCCGTACCCTTTGATTTTCGTTACTTTCGCTTGCCGGGCGTACACCAACATTCTTGCGCTCTGGTATCAGGTGACTAATACCTGTGGGACTATCCACATCACAGAGGTCGCGTAGGTCATTCACAAACACAAACACCATTATTGCATGAAGAAACCAGAGTCCTGCCATTAGCACTGGAAGTAATAAAATATAACTAATAAATGGGTTTAGTGGACCCAACCCACAATGGAAATTTTGACTCGTAATTAATCTTGTGTTTAGAATTTGCAGATACTGCACAAAAACCCATACCCCAGGAAAAACTGAAGACATCAAACCTTGATTGGCCCAATGTTGAAATCTAGGTCTTTTAAAAGAATACTGAACACAGTCCTAAAAAAATAATAAATATCAGTAATTAACAGAATAATAATGTATCTATGTAATAATGTATATAATGTAAGACTATCGAATTAACAGCATAGCATTTGTTGCTTGTATTGAACATAACTCTAAATGCCACGACAATGAATATAACTAAAAATTATTATGAATCGACTTAAAACGTTCAAAACTCAGGTCTGTGATGTAGACAGAGATGCACGTTCACCCAAAACCTTAATAACATAAACATTTTAATGTGAATACCAAACAGGAACAGGATCAAAAAAATATAAATTTGGTATAAATGAAAGCAACACTGCTGCATAAACAGGAAAAACACACATATCACGAGTTAATTCATACTACATGCATTTTCAACATCTACGTTTTACTGACTTATCTCACAAGTTTCGCATCAATAAAAGATAAAATTTAGATGTCAGACGTGCCGCTATTTACCTGCGAACCTATAGTTCCAGTGACAAATGGGTATGGAAACATGGTATGGCCATGGGCCTTAGGAATACTAAACGCATTCTTTACTCAGTAGAGATATTTACAGCTACTAACCAAACAGAAGTCCTAGTTGCTTACAAGCCAAAAGGCGAGCCATTATTGGAGTTCTTTCACCCTCAGCAGTTGCCCGTGATATTGCAGCAATCATAGCCGCACCTGCTCCAGTACCAATACCTGGAACAGTAGGAATTTAAAGGCATAATTCGACAATCGATTATGCAAGTAGACGAATGCTGGACAGAACTGGGCACCTTTGTAGTTAATAAGCTACATTACCTTATACCAAACGCGCTATTAGTTATGTCCAAATCACCTGCTAATTACTAAGAAATGTCTATTTTGAAATCATCGTAAATTTGCGTGTATTCTTGCGAACAACGCTAAATTTATTGCAAACCAAAATAAAACATCGAGTTCGGCTTCGGTGACGTCACATAGTTGCTACAGGAATGTTGAAGCATCGAATGGTTATGTTCCCGGGTAAATTGTTTGCGCTAGTGTTATTATTTGGCGCTAGAGTTGCCCACATTGTTATCATGTGCTTGTAATCTCAAGGAACTTCGTATATTCATGTATATTGCCACGAATCGCCAAGAGTAAACCATAACCGTCACGATCTGCGCACTCAGACTACAAGGAGTCGAAATCACTGACGGCCGACGTTCATACGTGCGAAAATGTCCGCGCCTGTGCACTAAATCTTATGACACGCCCGCTCGCCGGTTTCGACCGGCGTTACAGGCCGGCAATAGCGGGTTGAAACTGTCACAAGGATTTATTTGACCGGGATTTCAATTGGATATTTCTTAGCTATACCAGCAGTGATATTGGACAAACTAATACCGTTGGCCTATAAGGTTAATGTACTTATTTATACTTACACAAGGTGCGCAGTTACTGTAGGCATTCGTTAAAATTGCTCATTAATTCAATGGTCGAACTTATGCCTTAATCAATAATTGCATTTTTGATACGTAGCTTCAGTCTATGTACTGCAAATTGTAATTGGCAAACGCGCCTACTTTCTCAAGATGGCAAGCATTGATCGTGGGTGCATATTCAGCGCCCAAAAATAAATGATTTCGAAATACTCATATGTTTGTTTATGACGAAACGCAGAATCGGCGTAATTATAGAAATTTGTAGGTATATGCTATTATATATAAATCTACTATCAAAATATACTCTCAAATTCTAGGGTATCCCTAATGTTATGTTGCAGTATTAACCAAACCTGCTATGCTCCGTCCTAGGACCAACACTCCAGGATAAACGCCAATCATATAGATGATATTTCCTGCCATTTCGCAACAGTCACAAAAAATCATAATCCATTTAGACCTGGAGAAATATATATATAAATATATATATGTTAGTGTTACCACTTATAAATCAGCCATAAATTATACCAATAATAGTGCCAGCTTTAGTGAAGTATAGATACGATAGCGCGTATAGAGGAATATATCCAAGTTACACAATAATATATATTTAGGAGTGAATAAAACCAAGGAAATGTGCAAGGCTAAATTATTGAAAATCCAATGTTGGACAACCCTAACCCATCTATGATTTTTTGTAATTCAACAAACCTGAACTCAAAACCTACCTCAAACATCACACAAGGATCAGCTGGATTTTATCAGGAGTAGATAATAGGGAGGAGTGTGACATGCAAATAAAACAAGGGAATTCGTCATTTACGATAGGCCCTTATAGATGTTTATTTTTCTTGACGATTTACCTTTACTACACGTAACTCAATCCCACTTGAGCTTCGAAATCGGCACACAGTAACATTCGCGCTATCATCGTGTGAAATTCGTTTTCCCCCTCGTAGACACTCGCAATCGCGCGAGATACAGCCTAAAACGTAACGACACGATTCCTCGGACATGTCTTTGGCCGATACAATTCCAAACGCCATTGCCGCGCCTATAATGCAAACAAAAGGCAGGCTACGCTAAACGCGCTAGTGCTAAAATCAGGCGAGCCATGTGGCCCTGCGCTGGGAGATTAGGCATCAAACACTCGGTCGAGATAACTTTGACGCGGTACACAGCTAGACACAGGCCACGCTACCTTGTACATAGGCTGGCATATGCCTTCCACGCACGCACGGCCGCAAAAGCCGCATGATTAGCTCGTCGGTGTTGCGTCGATCTGCCACTCTCCCGCGAGCGCCACGCCACATTCAGGAATAGTGCGACATTCCTAGATAGCTAACACACAACTGGCGGCGCAAGTGTTGCAGCCGTTTTGTCTGAATTAAGGCGCGCATGGCCTGTTGGCTTGATGGCCAAAGAATGGAGAAAATCGTCGTCGTAGCGGTTTAGGCTAGTAATCTGCCGGACTTGCGGGTGTTGCTACGAGGAAACGATTTCGCACGGATGATTGGCCGAATGTACTGTGTCCGCATTGACTCATAGTTGATGAGTTATGCGTAGTAAATCGGTAGGTATTATAAGGGCTAGTAAAGGACGAATTTCCCTTGTTTATTGATGTCACACTCCTCCCTATTATCTACTCCTGATTTTATGGAGAAGATTTATAAAAAACTTGTCATGAATTTTTTTAATATATCTACAGATGTATTTAAGATTGTGAATGTATTTAAGATTGTGAATGTGTATCAGAAAACTGATTACATATGATGCTATAGGGGAATGCTTGCAGTGGATTCCGAGCTCAGGTTTGTCAAATTAAACATGAGCTTAAATCATTATAAATCATATAGGTATCTTAGGATCAGGAAACATTGGATTTCTAATAATTAAGCCTTGCACACGCTGTTGTATTTATTCACTCCTAATTATATATATATATATATATATATATATATATAACCCTTATACATATATACTATATTCCGATAGGGGATTAATGCACTGATTGATGACCCCTGTGGGTGATGTACATCTGACATTCTGACCATCTATAGCCGAAAGTGATGCGAAGATGAAAAAAGAAACAACATATACATACAAGTTATATAGGTATCTAGATCAGGAAAGCATTAATTTTCCCCCCCCTTTTCCCCCTTAAATAATTAAGCCTTGCACACGCTGCTGTACCATTTATTCACTCCTGATAATATATATATATATATATATATTTATTTTATACATATATAAATATATATACATATATATATCCCATAGGGAGTAATGCAACTATTGATACCTGTGTGATACATCTGACCATCTACCAATGATCGGAGATGAAAAGAAACCAGATAGATTAAATGCCGCCATGACAACTCCAACCATGTACTCCGGTGCATCGAACCTCCTATACAGGTACAACCACAGTGTAGGGAAGATCAAAGCTAATAAAAAAAATTACAACAATATTTACTTGCTTTGAAGAATTGAAACATAAAGGGCATTGCATTTTTTTATTAAAATAATTATTTTTTATAAATAACTTCACAATCGAAAAATATAGCGAAATATAGTCTGATCTCATAGGGAACATGCTACTTATAACTCCATCATCAAAATTACCATGGGTTTATATGCTGTCATGGTATATAAAATAGCAAATAACAGTCGATCACGTTCTTTTGTATAGCGACAATTCCCTTGAAATCGACAACCACCAGACACACGTGCATCTCCATGACATGATGTAGTGATTTTATACTGATGCAATGTCTCTAACTACTGCTAAATTCCAGTTACCATATAAAAGTACAGGGTACAAATATCACCCAGTATTATCAAATGTAATATAAACATGCATTAATCTACTTGACCAGTATGGTTCTAAGTGTCTCTTGCACAGTACCTATAAATAATATCAAGAGCGTATAAAGAAGGAGAGCGTACAACGGTGAAATGCTGAAACCATGTTGCAGTATTATTCAAATTAATAAACTTTTCCCGTTTTATTTTGACGATTTTTTGCAGTATTATTGATCAGCTGTCCTACCTTGTTAATATAAAACATTTACCGCATGTCCCTACGATGACCTTACGCCAAAGCTAATGAGCAGTGAAAATCTGGTATTTTCACCGAAAACCGACTCGAGATCAGTTTACTGTGAGTGTCTCTGGCCAGTGTATTGCTTCCAGTCGCTGCTGTGTAGCACCATGGTATAGCACTAACTCACGTCAGTACTAGGACTGTAACGATACACTTAGTAAGCCTCTCGATTCGATCCGGTTCTCGATATTAGCCTCTCGATTCGATTCCTTCGATTCGATTCCCAAAATATTGAAATGTTATCTTATTTTTTATATTTCCATTATTTTGCAATAATAAATTATTAGAAATTGCCAATGAATACTAAACTAGAAACGGGCAGTTGTCGCCAACTACATGTATCCCTCGTGATCTAGTATGAATGGAATATCTCTGTAAGGACGTAGAAGGCAGGTAAAGTTAAATAAGTCACAAAGACAAAGGTTTGTTAGACAACTGGTGTGCCTCAGATGTGGAAGTATATGGAATCTGGTTACCCTAGATAGAAGGCCGAAGAGGAAATGTAAGTCGACGGTGAAGGTCAAACTAAGGTCAAGGACAGTGGTGGTTTTGGTATGCGACAG